CCCTGAATTAACTCCTTTTAGTCGCCTTGTACGATAAGCAGAAGATGTCTTAGCGCTAATCTGTGTCCTCGGCGTTGATTTCCACTTATCTGATTCATATTGTCTCTCATAATATATCTATAACATGTTTATAAACGTGGTCCATACGGATCCCGGGTCTATGTGATGGGGTAGCGGGTTAGAAAAAATATAAATTTTGAAGCGGACTATAAGGGTTCCGCGTAAAACGTGGCTAGAATAGTATTGAAATACTATATATTGAAATGTTATATCATAATATCGCGCGGCACAGCAGACGAACTGACCTTAATGATAAATAAACCGTTGCAGACACGCGGTACAGTCGACGCCAAATGCCCGTGACTCGCGGTCCACGGACTTGCGTCAATGGCCATGTTGCAAGAGATACCGTACTATATGTATATTTTTAATTACCTCCAATCTAGGAAAAAATAATCTATTTAATGAATAAATAAATAAATAAATATTTTGGGACACAATTTTACACAACGTTCCCTAGTAACAATCTATGCAACGCTTATACTATGGGTACTAGATAACTAATAAAACACTTAAACATACTTTTCTTTTGTAAATAAATAGATATTATACATACATAAACACCCAGACACTATGTTCATCACACAATATTTTTCCAGTAAACCGGTGTAAACCACACCCTCAGCCGCAGGAAGGAGGTTCACTAGGCCATTCGGGTCGTCTAATATAATCCATTATTACGGGCTGGCGGTTCACCCGATGTTGAGTGATAACCGCCGCCCATTGACATTTTCCTAAGGACAGGTGCGCAGCCAAAAGAGTGTGTGATTAAGGTGTACACGTGTTTATTTTTTCCCAGATCGGTGCCTACTGCTACGCGGAGTTGGGCACTATGATCAGACTGAGCGGTGCAGATTACGCGTATATCATGGAGACGTTTGGACCATTCGCGGCCTTCATCCGTCTGTGGATCGAGTGCATGATCGTGCGGCCATGCTCCCAGGTGAGTAAAGGACACCTGAAGTAAGTTAACTGCCTAACATATATGGGCAAAGGCATCTGCGTTACAGAGGGCGTGAGGGTGCAGTGCGCTACGCCCTTTTGTAAATTAACAAATATATGCTCTAAAAATAGTTACCCCTCACATGTGTATCATTGGCAGTGATGCATCGCCTTTTATTGCCATAGTACCCAGGAATACGAGATATCATATATAATTTTTAGATAATTTTTACGGTGTTAGGGCCACGGAGAAGCCTCGGCTGTTGCACGAATGGGCAGGCTCGTCCGGGTAAGTACCACGACCTCACAGAAGACCGGCGTAAAGTGGAAGTATAATACTTTCGCGTTTCGTCTGGTGAGTGAGGTGGCCGGAGCCCAATTTTCAAAAGGTTGTCAACGCATCTGCAACCCTCGGGTGTAGCAGATGTCTATGGGCAGCGGTATTCACTTATCGATCGTTTGAACCGTCTGCTCGTTTGATAACTTTCCACATAAAAAAAGAATATCAGCAGTTCAAAATTGCAAACCACACTGTCGTTGTTGCTAGTAAATCTGTGGCTATTCGAAGTTGATGCTGATGTTCATACAGGTTCATACAGGAAAATTGGTGGCCGCTTTTCCCGTCGCAGTTCCCTGAATTGAGTGTCTTGTTTCCATAATTGTTCATACAATTTTAGAACCCTGTGACACTGTCCTTTACGATAGTGAGACACCCGACGGCTTGATTTTGATCTCTCGGTAGAGAAGCAAAGCCCTCGTTTAGTTCGCGACTTGCGTAGACATTTCGCTATCTCTCGTCTAAAGTGCACTTCAAGGAGTGGCCACCAGAGGCAGCTGAAGTAAGTAAAAAGTGCAAATGTGTGTTTCTTTGTTCAGATTATGTATTTGTGCCATTTGCTGTTCTAACCTTGTGACCGTGGGTGCCTCGCACATAAAAACTTTTGAAAGACTGATCGAATACAATTTATAATCTAAGAACTTGTGCTTTCACTTTTACAAAAAGGCTACGCGTGTTGTGAATATTGACCAAGTCAATACTATGTAATTATTACAACTATTTCTTGTCTTTATGCTATATTTTAAAGTTTTCGAAATATTTTTTTAAATCTTTCTGATAATTTCCGCAAATGCTTACATATATTTCTTATGCTTTTGGTTCATGTGATATTTCACGTACCGATCTCTATTTTATAGGATTGCTACCTTTTGACAAATCCGAGGAAACAAACTAAATCGCTTAACAAATCGAAACGCAGTGGTATACAAACATAACTAACGAATGTTTCATATTGAAAATCAGTTGTATATTGGAGAAACGAAATAAAAATGAGATAAAGTCGATGCAATCTCTGAAGCCATTGTTTCCCATTGCGGCAGAAACGATAGGATAAATTTCAATTTACTGTTGACAATACGATTTAGCTTTATGAGTCAATATCCAGTCTGAATCCAGATTCTTTCACATGTATATGTTACCCATTTAGCCTTAAATGGTAAAAGCCTTTACTCAGTAAAATTATATTAAATCTCGCCTTCATGGCATACACAGTACATTACAAAGGGAAAATTGATGCTGCCAAATTATTTGACTCTTAGCGTTTGCTACTAAAGTTATGAGTGATAAGGTGATGATTTGTTGATGATTTGGTGGCACATCCGCTAAGCTATTGGCTTCGGTGCCGGCGGTCGTGTGTTCCATTCCCACACTAATATTTATGTGACTCGCCGATGATTGTTCCGGATCTGAGTGCTTATTCCCAAGGAGGGTTGACTTTTGGCTGGCGGCCGGTCACAAAAACCCACGCAATACTGATATGACACCCAATACCAGTATAAACGGCAGTAAAGAGAAGATTATGGATGAAGTCGATCGTTTTAAGGAGTGATGTACCTGATGATGCTAAAGGAAACTCATCATCTTAAATTTGAATGAAAGTATATCACGTATCAAACAATTACCGGGACAGATCGAGTCGTTTGACGGCCAGATTTTATAGCTCACCGTGGTTAAGTCAGTCATTCTTTTCAATCCGCTTTGTTTATTTTGTATGTCAGAAAGTGGCAAACGAGCTGGCGGTTCACCTGATATTAATTGATAACCGCCTGCCCATGGACATTGGCAACACCCGTAGGGTTGCAGATGCGTTGCCGCCTCTTAATAAAATGGGCTCTGGCTGCCTCACTTACCAGATGAAATGCAGAAGTGCAATACTTCTACTTCAAGCCGGTCTTCTGTGAGGTCGTGGTCCTAACCCGGGCATACCTGCCCGGTCATGCAACAGCGAACACTGTTGCCTGGTCCTACCGCTCTGTGCAGAAAAAGCTTTAATCATAGGCAAAGTTAACATTACAGTTATTACCACGTACGTTTTAAACACATTATACTGGGTGAGATAGTATCTATTCTACCGAATTAACAGATTTTATCGTCATCACTTATTTTAATTGAATTTTCGATGTTACGAATATATTGCGGCATTTAATGACATGAGCTTTAATGTCAGTGAGGCCTCTTCTGTCCCGAGATCAAGAATGCTGCAAGTATAAAAACAGATTTACCAAATAATGTCAAGTGTTCGGATAACTACAAGGTTCATAACATATTTTTCAACGCTGACTGTTTCTTTAACAGGCTATAGTCGCTCTCACCTTCAGCGTGTACGTTCTGAAGCCGGTCTTCCCTGAATGTGATCCCCCTGAAGACGCCACAAGACTACTGGCTGCTTGCTGCATACGTAAGCGATGTTACGTTACTTACCACCGCGCTTAGAGAACTCAATTAAAACTCAATTGGCTTCAAAATGTTTACATTTTCCTGAAGGAGGAATATTCTTTTGAGTTTCATCTGGTGTACTCACCAAGGTAACCGGGGTCTACTTTTTAGGAATCCGCTGTCTGCCTGTCTGTCTCTCTGTCTGTTTTTCACCAGGCTGTATCTCATGAACCGTGATAGTTAGACTGTTGAACTTTTCACAGACGATGTATTCCTGTTGCCGTTTTAATAACAAATACAAAAAAAAACAGATTAAAATATATTTAAGGGGGGCTTCCATACAACAGACATGACTTTTCTGGCGATTTATATACAGCGTGTCGTTACCACCGCGACAATAAATGAACACACATATAGAGGATAACTTTTTAAAATTGTATTAAACATTTACGTTCTTCAAATATCAATATTTACCGAGTTATAAAATTTTCCAAAACAATTTTAGAACATCCTTTCGTATAAAACTGTAACGTAAAGTTCATTTGTAAAGGTCACAAGCATATGAATGGGTTGAATGAATTTAAAAGAGACAAAACATACTGTTAGAAGGAGAGGCTTGTTATGCGACGCTGTGGCGCGAGTTATATAGGATGTTACAAACTTTGTTTCTTTTTAACTTAATTAGTTTGTTTGGAAAATATTTTTTTTTAATTATTGATTTTGTTTAACGTTAATATTTTTTATAACTATTGGCAAGTAGCGTTAGACTTATGTTCATTTATTGTCGCGATGGTAACGACACGCTGTATAATGGTACGGAACCCTTTGTGCGCGAGTTCGCACTTAATGTTCATAGGCGGCGGTAATCAGTTAACATTAAGTGAACCGCCTGCCCGTTTGTCAACTTTAATAGTTATGTATTTTGATGTCATTATCAAAGTTACCATTAAAGTAGTAGTGGTGACTTTACTACTTAACTTTAGCAGCACTTAAATGGCGCGTGCGTGCGTGCGTGCATATGTGTGTGCGTTGTGTATTAATTCGACTTTTCTTGTGTCAAATTTGCAGTAGTATACTTTTGAATGCTATCTTGTTAGTATGGAAAATATCAACTGAGCGAAATTTGTTGTTATAGGTATTTTTTAAACGGTTTGCAATAGAATTCTGTGCATGCCTCGTTGATGATTTAGATACAGCGAATAAAGGAGTGTCTCGTTCTGTATTATGGAGTACTAAAACAGAGGATCCTATCAGCTATAGGTCCACAATCAATTTTTCCACTACGTGTACCATGCAGAAAAGTCATATCCGTTAATATGCGTCGATCCTTCAGGCTCATTATTTTCCAACTACCCTATAGAAGGGCAGACGTGATTTTTTGTGCGTTTGCCGGCAGTGCTCCTGACCTTCGTAAACTGCTGGTCGGTGCGCGCGGCCACCAGGGTCCAGGACTGGTTCACGTATGCCAAACTCCTCGCGCTGTTCATCATAATCGCGGCCGGGATCTACCAGCTGTGTAGAGGTGAGTCTTTTGTTTCAGATGCCGCCATTGCCATTAGAAATTTAAACTTTTATGGTGCCAATATCTGCACCTAAGGTGAAACATTAAAATTTGTAGAAAAAAGTACGGAGTCTTTCGCCGCTGTGGGAATTGAACCCACGTCTTCGGGTTTCGTGCCCAGACATTTTAACCACTATGTTAAACGGTAGATGTGGCAAACCGACGAAATTCTCAAAATCTTTTATCTACGTTGTTTTATCGCATTTTAATAAATTCTTGGCGCATCCTTTGTTATATCCCTTACAGCATAAAAAACATTTGTATATGAACTCGTACCACAGACAATATAGTTGTTTTTTATAGTTGTTTGTTGATAATTGTAGTTTATACCTAAGCTGTAATATAGGTTCACCCGCTGAAAGGCAAAACAATAAGCTTTTATCACTATAATCATTTATAAAAGTAAAAAAAAATTAATTTGTGAAAATATAATTCTTATAGAAACTTTTATATATATTCTGTATGATATATTATCTATGCAGAAACCTTCAGCCATTTTATTTGTACACGTGCACCGTTGTTATATTTCTTTCGAATTGGCGCGCATTAAACTCATCTGTTATAACATTTATTTAAATTGTTAAGGTCATTGTCGAACAACATTTATCTTTGTTCAATGTTGATTAGTCGGCAACAAATCTATGTACAGTCGACTCTTGATAATTTTAAACTCATCAGACCAGAGTTCAATTTCAAATTATGAAGAGTTCAAAATAAGAAGAAATAATAAAATTTATTATTTCTTTGTTATTATTATGAATTAACAATTAAATTCAATAATAGAATTATTCACAATTTTTTTTAAAAGAAGTCCGTAATCTTTGGTTTGTTACAGACGTCATTTGGTAGTTAATTCTCTAACACTTCTGCAAACAATTTTTGTTATTCGTTGATTGATGAATTTGCAACACTAACGCCCGGTTTCTGAAACACCGGTCACCGTAGAAGTTAACTAATCAGCTATCAAATGATTTGTCAAATGCCATTTGAATTGCCAAATGGATGGTTAAAATTAAATGTTAAAATGGTAATGATGGTTAAATGGTTAAACTCTCTGAATTGATCAGAATGCTATTCTAAATGATCAAGAATTTGAAAGCCATTCGACAGCTAATTAGTTAATTTCTAAGCTGATCAGTGTTTCAAGAACGTGGCGTAAATAATCAAGTTAATTCTGCGATATATGTACCCTTATATTAGTCCTTAAACGTAACAGAATCGACAGGGAAGGCATTATATAAACCAATTTCAACCTAAAAATACGTAGACCTTGCCGCACTCCCGTCTTTCTCTCAACAGGATATGTCTTTGGCACTCCATAAGAGAAAAACCTCGTTAGCGAAACGCTCCATGCAGCTGACGTTCGTAAAGGAAGCGATAAACCAATTTCCCGCGCAATTTGCCACCGAGCAACGGACGGTCGAGTTCATTCTGAAGCACGTCCTCAACTTAACTATGCATTAGGCGAGATAATTAAGTCTTAGGAAGGAATAGAAGAAAAGCTGTTTTGCCATTTTTCAGGAAGATAAGCGTATATATATTACACATACTTTTACTAGATTACGATGGTTTTGTAATTTTGTCCCTTTGAAACGTATACTGCTTTCATGTATTGCCATACTTTTTCCATTTATTACCTACTGCTCGTTACTAGCACTGATATAGAATTCTCTGCTGTTTAATTATCCAATATTTTTATAAATAAGTAATAATGCGAGTATACAATGTTCTATGAACGTTAGATTTTTTTTATTTTATCTTCGAAAAAATACAATCCCCGTTATACAGTTAATTATTCTTTGATAATCGCGGTAATTGAGAATTCAAAATTGTTGATGATCAAATAAAAAGAAGGCGACTGTAATCCAAATCAACAGTCTATTTTCACTGTTTAACTATGAACAAATTTATGTTTTTAAAACGTCCTTACAACACAGGATAATGTTATCCTAAAGTAGGGGTAACGTTTACCAAAAACGTTTAAGAGGAAAAAAAAAACGATAAAAGAGTGAATATTTTATGTCCTCGTATTTAGAGTTACAGTTATCACGACGAGAAAGTATTCCGTGCTTCGTGATATCCTTGTTATTTATAACAATGTATCTTTTATTGAGTCATCGTGTGCCTTTTTAGTTACATTATTGGTGCTTACAGATTAAAATAGTAAAGCCAAAATGGGTTAGCGGTTTTACTATGTCCCAATGTAGCCGAAAATGGAGAATAAAGGCAAAAAAATTAATAAATTGTTGTAAAAAAATATATTTATTTATTTCTCAAATTGTCATTACCTTGGTTATCTACACCTTATATATGTAACAATCCGATATCTGATACGGAAATAAAAATGTAGATTTGGTTTTTAAATGGCATTAATTTTTTTTATAGTGCTGTTCTCTGCACTCAAGATGAAATTTGAAAATCTGTAGATGGCAGTTGGCACCTATGACTACTTATACAATTGTCAATTAGCTCAGGAACATCGACGACTTTAGTTTTTTTTCTTTAGTTTTTTTTCTTTAGTAGCTAGTATTCTTTTTAAATAATACTGGCCAGAAATACTTACACTAATCCCGAGAGAAAATTTGCATGCATTAAGCACTACACCATATTAGGAAGTTGACTGTTAAAACAGGGTTGAACCACGCCGGGAGCCGAGTCGTTAGTTATTTTTAAAAACTTCACTTGACAATTTAATAATCTTTTTTTTTTATGTCAAAAGTAGCCAAGCGAGCATACGGTTCACCTGATGTTAAGTGAATACCGCCGCCCGTGACATCTGCTACAGCCAAGGGTATGCAGATGCGTTGACAACCTTTTTCGAAATTGGGCTCCGGCTACCACACTCACCGGACGAAACGCGAAAGTATTTGTCATACTTCCACTTTACGCCGGTCTTCTGTGAGGTCGTGGTACTTACCCGGACGTGCCTGTCCATTCGTGCAACAGCCGAGGCTGCTGCGTGGCCCTACCACCGTTAAACGCACCCGTTCTGTACCCACGCACAGTAAAGCGCACGCTAAAATTGCACGGGGACAGACAAAAAGAAACTGAGAAACGACCTTGACCTTGTCGGTGGCGGCTAGTTTACTATCACTGCTCTACCGCTGTGGAATGCTTTTTTTCATTCATATTCGACGACACGCTTACAATACTTCGACATAAACACGGTAAAGACGGTATTTGGTAGTAAAAGAGTGTTTTTACAAAGCACACAAGAACCCGAAAAATGTAAAGTCAATCAAGAGATCTAGATTGCAATGTTATATGAACCAAATAAATTGAAAAAATTCAAAGGGTTTTAACAATTAATGGTTTTGAGATCCATAGACGATTTACGACAAGACCGTATGTTCAAAAAGCATTATTCAATAAATACTCTTCTTTATTTGTGCTTCGTTCTGAATGTTACATAATTTTAAATGATCTAATTTTTATTTTTCCATATTTATGAATTCTATCCATATGAGAGATGTTTCACATGCATAAATTGCTCGTTAATACTTGATGTGTTTGAAAATCGAATTAATGAAATGTAAAAAAACAACATAAAGACAAACATATGAAGAAAAAAAATATTTTTTTTGCAGCTGTGTTTAGAAATTTACGTTTGAATTACGTAGAGCGTACAACGCAACTTGACCTCGCGTGCCTTCAGCGGCCGTGACCGGGGCGAGGCGAATGAATGAAAGTATGACACTGATGCCTTTCATTCATTACGTTAAACAATTACTAATGTTCCTAAATAGACCAAAAATACGAGTAAAATATAACATATTTTTTAAAGTAAGATTACAATAGGCACATAAGATGTTTTTTTATTTCCTAAGTTCTACGAATTTAATTATTTTTCAGCTATCGTAGAAATTTTCTATCCTTTTTTAAAGGACTTCAAAAGGAGAAGGACTGACTTGTTTATTTTTTGATGATTGCTTTTTTGGCGCGTTTGGAAAATAAAATGAGAGTAAAATTTTTAGGATGCGCGCGCCCGCCGGGGGCCAAAAATACTACATGATAAGTTGGTTGCAAAGCGACCAACTTCTACCAACCTCACGGTATTATCATGGCAACCAATAAAAAGTTTTCCCATTCACCTATAATTCCAATTTATTAATTATAAACTCGTAAGATCGGAAGGGATCTTTAACTATCAAAGCTATAAATTCGCGCCTGAATATCATTTTTTATCATTTTTCTTTAAAAAAAAAACATTGCCCTTACTCTGGGATAACATTATCCTGTGTTATAAGGACGTTTTACAAACATAAATTTCACGCGGACAAACACCTAGATGCGGAACAACTATCTGTGGGTCACACAAACAGTTGTCCCCTGTGGGAATCGAACCCACGAGCCCCGACGCCGAAGTCGACACCTGGCCGACTGCGCCACGGAGTCATCAAATCTAATCGAATATCTTTATTAAGATTGATTGAACTAAGAAACTAAATATTGTATCGCTATCCATTAGACAGAAAGATGGTTCTCAAGAATGGCAATCTCTTAGACCTAGCTGGAGCGACCACTGTCACTCACCTTAATAAGAGCTAGTGAAGCCGCCCCCTACGTGAGATTTATACAACGATTTTTATTTGAAGAGATGAAAAAATTATTCGATACAACGATTCGTGTGCCTAAAGCAAGAAATCGCGACATAATAAATAATAATGTACTTTCTGTAAGTGAAATTTTGCGTTATATTGTCACCCCCACTTACTTCACATAAATTTTTACGGATTACTCCCACATCACGTATTTAATGGACGCTTCCATACTCGTACACGAGACCGATATACATGCAAAAGAATAGAAAATAATCCACGCCGCGAGACACCGGAATCACCTCGATAGCAGCCAGTGATTGACGATAAGTTAAGAAAGTCCATTTAACGATTGCATTGTTACAAAATCGCTGTCAACGCGTACCTCAAAATGGCGGCCAATTCGAAACTTCCGCGGCCGACACTGCGCTCCTTATTAGATGATTGGCTCAATCCTGTGCCGCCGCCGTTACTTGGTATTATTTAATTCAGTCATGTAATGTTACACGAATGACTCATCGCACTGTGTTCGAGTTAACAGTGAGAATATCTTCACGACGACAGGTTGCAGCACTAAACTGCTGGATGCGACTTCTATTTTTCGAACCATACAATACTTATTATCATAGACAATTTTTTTAATTTATTCAATACAAAACGGGTTCGACAAAAAAAAAAATTACTCAGATTAAACATATTTTTTTAGACATATGTGTTTTTTTATGTGTGTAGCTCGCAGTTCACCTGATGTTAAGTGATTACCGGTGCATATCTACATTCGAAACACCCGTAAGGTTCGATAAAGTGGGCTACAGCTCCCTCACTCACCAGATGAAATGCAGAAGTATAATACTTCAACATCACGCCGGTCTTCTATGAGGTCGTGGTACCTAGATGGACCGGCCCATTTGTGCAAAAATGTCATAACATAAAAACTCTCTTGTTCGTATGTTATATTCAGAAGTACTTGTTTATCGCGGTGACTGTAGGCCTTAAATGAAATAAAACACAGACGATATTAAAACTCAAAATAATTCAGGGTTTTATTTTTAAATAATTAATTGTTCTGTAGTGTACGATGAATGTGTACGACGAATCGACAATGTTTAGCTAAATTAAATGTATCATTTAATAAAGTCAACAATTTCGTGTATAATGATGATTTAATCATATCGCAAAATTAAAATAAATATTATTAAAGAATTATATGAAATCAACTTTCACAAAATGAAATTTAGCAGTAAGTAGTTAAAAAATTTCAAGATTTTAGAATAAGTATTTTAAATATAATGTACTTCGTAACAATGTAACGGGCATTGTTCGATCTAATAGATATGAGACAACTATCTAGAGGCGAGTCGGAATTCCGATAACATCAAAATATCGATACTTTTTATGCATTTCAATTAGGAACATCAATGACCTCGAATGATCGCGATATGCCAAATATCACTTGACGGCTTTAAAAGAAAATAAATTTGCCACTTTAAAATCCGTCCGATAGGTACGCCAGCAATGCTGGACGAAGAGAAGGCCGAATGCCTGGCTGACAGCCTAGAGTCTCAATGCTCCCCCAGTCTGCTTCCGATCGACCCCGAACACCTCCGCAAGGTGAACGAAGAGGTAGAAAGGAAAGCCTTAGAGCCACTTCGCGATCCCGTTCCCCCAGTCACGTGCTCCGAACTAATAGACACCATTAATAAACTACGCCCGCGTAAAGCACCAGGCTCAGATGGTATCACCAATAAGGTGACCAAGCTCCTCGCTACTAGCATCCTTCAGATACTAGTATTAATTTACAACGCGGCCTTAACCGAAGGCTTCTTCCCATCGGAGTGGAAGAAAGCCGATGTCATAGGGTTCCTCAAACCCTCTAAACCCGCCACTCTCCCAACCTCATATCGTCCAATAAGTCTTCTCAAAACGTTTGGGAAGATCTTTGAACGACTAATATTAGCCCGCTTAAGATCCCTTATGGACACCAAAGGGCTCCCCATCCCAGAGCAGTTTGGATTTAGAGCCAAACACTCATGTACCCATCAAGTGCACCGCATCACGGAGCACATTTTAAAAATAACAGGGGGGGGGGGGGGGGGGTAAACGTCAACGTGGACTCAACACCGGTGCACTCTTCCTGGACGTGGCAAAAGCGTTCGACAAAGTCTGGCACAACGGGCTCGTATACAAGCTATACGGGTACGGAGTGTCCGACCGTCTCGTATGCATAAGACGAGACTTCCTAAGTATCGCGTCGAGGGCGTGTGTTCGACTACGCATCCCGTTCGAGCCGGGGTGCCCCAAGGGTCGGTGTTGGGACCAGTCTTGTTCACTCTCTACACCAATGACATGCCGCGTGTCAAAGACGTAGAACTTGCTCTTTTTGCCGACGACACCTGTATCTATACCACAGGCAGAACACCCGAATTGATCCATCGACGCCTCCAAGCTGCGGCCATCACCATCGGTGACTGGTTTCGGCAATGGAGGATCGAAATCAATCCCGCCAAAAGCGCGGCAGTCCTTTTCGCGCACAAAAAGAACATACCCATTCCACCCCCCCGTTAAACTCTTGGACAGCCCAGTACCATGGGTTAATAAAGTCAAATATCTAGGCGTCGTCCTCGACTCCCAGCTTTAAATTCACCCAGCACGTGACCCAGGTCAGGAACCGGGCGGCCTTCGTACTCGGTCGCCTCTACCCGCTCCTCAATAAAACGTCAAAAATGTCCCTTCGGAACAAGGTGAACAACTTCGGAATAAGGCAGTAGTTCGCCCTATCATGACGTACGCGAGCCCCGTCTTCGCTCACATTGCTCCGAAGCAAATACACCGGCTTCAGGTGATTCAAAATCGATTCTTGCGCAGAACCACGGGAGCACCCTGGTTCATACGCAATATCGACCTACATGTCGATCTAGAATTGCCCACCATCGCGCAATTCCTGAAGTCGGCGTCGCGCCGATATTTCGATTCCGCCGCCGCGCATCCCAACCCACTTACCGTAGGTGCCGTCACCTACAGGCCCTTGCCGCTAAATATTTTCCGCCGCGATTACCGAAGACCGCGTCACGTTCTCGACTTCCCTGACGATGAGACGACTATCGCCATCGAAAGGATCAAAAAACTCAAGATACACACCAACACACACCGCACTCGCCGGCGAGTGCGGCAAACATATACTAGGTTCCGCCACGTACCTGGCAGGTTTTCCCCTATTAATGATAGAAGCGTTGCTGGAGTTTCTTCCGCCACTTCTTCTCCCAGCGCCAACGTTCTCCGAAGTCGTAGTAATGTTAGCTCTAGTAATTCCCCCAGTCAGATAATAGCTACCGATCGAGCCGAGGTCCGGCCCTCTCGGGCACCCTCGAATCGGAATGCTAAACGCGTGCTGAGTGACAGCCCAAGCCGAGGTCCCCTCTCGGGGACCCTTGAGCCTGATCACTCCATGGAGCGCCCGCCAAAGCGCCCTAAGAGCTTGGCGGCCTCCCAAACCGGTAATAATAATAGCGTGACGGCCCGAGCCGAGGCTCCCCCGGGAGCCCTCGAGCTTAGTCACCATAACGCGTAATAATAGTACGCCGAGGTTAGGCTAGGCGCCTCGTGCGCCAGGCCACCTCAAGTCCGTCGGATCTGTAAAGGCCCCTAAGGCCAACAGTGGCTCATCCAGCCCAAAAAAAAAAAAAAAAACACTTTAAAAAAATACTTTTATATAATGTATTTATAAAAAGTATCACCAAATCTATTAATGTTATAATTATTTTTACCGGCAAAGAGAAATATTTCGAAACGACAATAGGTTTAATTTTATTATAATACCCGTGTTTAAAATGCTTGCTTTTTTAAAATAGCAGTTGGCGAAATATCATAAATACCTACATAAATACATGTTCAATTTTTATAAGGGAAAGGAGTAGTGACGATGAGTACTCAGAGCTCAGACAATGATGTAATAATGAGCGGAATTGAAGTGCTAGATTCCGATTAAAACTAAAAATAAACTGTTAATATAATAAACAACCCAGACGGAAGTTGCGGGTTTCAGCTACCAATTTAATAGGGAACAACCAGTCTCCGTGCAAAGTCCCTCCATGGCCAGAAAGATACGCATCAGTTTCCTTTTTGCTTCCAGGCAAAGTGGAGCACTTTACATTCGAAGGAACGACGAGTGACGTCACTTCTATCGCCCTCTCTTTCTATTCCGGTCTGTTCGCTTACAACGGATGGTGAGTTTTCGGAATCCCTGTTAGCCGGCTGTCCAAAATCCTATGGTCAGTTTCGACCCCCTATTATATGAATTTAATGAGCATTTAATTTAGCTTAATCATTCAACACTATCATATGATTTAGAATCAGCAGCCTAAACATATATTGTATACAATATATGAGTATTAAAAATTTTATCGGTGCATGCTTTCCAAATCGGGTTTCTCGAGTTAATTGTCGAGTCGAGTCATAGTTTTTTATTCTACATAAAAACGGACCGAGATTGGAGCCTTGTGGAAATCGTGATTTTGATTAACTCTTGCATATAGTTGGCTTGTATTTAGCGATTTGCATCATACACAAATAGGTTTACTTCACTGTGAAAAATTTACAAATTTTACGAATTTACATTCAATGTTACATTAAATAGACCCTGTACTTTTTATTCCAAATATTTTATTAAATGAAGATGTATGCCACTGAACGTTTCGGGTCTAATTTACAGGAACTACTTGAACTTCATAATCGAGGAGCTGAAAGACCCCGTGAAGAACTTGCCACGGGCCATCGCCATCTCCTGCGCGCTGGTGACCGTCGTCTACACTTTCACCAACGTCGCTTTCTACACCACACTCTCACCCACCGAGGTAAGTACCTGCTTACATCACCACCATGTCATACATAATATATAATAATTATTATAAATACGATTTCTTGAACACTCTTACATACAAATTAAGAGGCGACTTGACTTGTAGCCAATCCCATCCCCTAATTAAATATACAGTGTGCTGATGTCAACAGCCTTAGTACCTGTTAAAATCGCCACCATCTATGAAAGCAGCCTGAACATTTGTCTTCACATCTCTTACGTAGATTTGGCAGTGTGATTAACGCCTGGTTTCTGAAACACCGATCGTCGTAGATGTTAACTAATCGGCTGTCAAAAGCCTTTTCAAATGTCAATTGAGTTGTCAAAAGGATGGTTAAACTCTTTAAATTTATCATTCTGATCATTACGAAGAGATCATTAAGGATGGTTAAACTCTCATCAGAATGATCAATTCAGAGAGTTTACCCATCCTTTTGGCAACCAAAATGAAATTTGGAAAGCCAATTGACAGCTGATTAATTGACATCTACGATGATCAGAGTTTCAGAAACCGGGCGTGAGTGTTTTACATCGAGAATGTTGACATGCGTATAGACTTTTGTATAGACGTCTATTACGTGCTTAACAAAAAGCTCAAAGAGTTGTTTTGTCCCTTTTCTTTTAAAACACATACGTCTAAAATATAACAACCCAAGTATATAAAATTGAGAGATTTTCTTTTCATCGTGAGGTTAATGAATTTCTGGTTTTCACAGACTAAAAGTTCTTTTAAAATTTATATTACTCGTAACGTGAGCCTGATGTGCATGTATATCATAAAATTATGTTTTGTAAAAGTGAAGTAACAGCTTAAATATGTCCCACTGCTGGACAAAGACTTCTGCACAGATGATATTAGTGCGTAACCCTGCGGATTGGCGAACTTCATATATCTTATAAAAATTATTTCTAAAGCTTCTTCACCGTTGAGCTCTTTATAAGTCAGCGCTTAACATTACCAATTTCATTGGTCAGCGGGGATTGAACTCAAATGCGAGTGTTAGAAAAATTAGCAATTACGGTTTTGTATTGGTACGTATATTTATAAAAAGGCCTCTTAAGCGGTCGACATTCGCTTTCGACCAATCAGACTGTTTAATACAAATTGCAGTGTTTTATGTGCAGTAAGAAACAGTGCCATTTAAATTACATCCGTGTTTAATGTCCGCCGATCGGTAAGCACCCGCTGCAGTATGAGGAGATAGGTACGTGAACGGTTTCTCTACATTGAGAAATTGTCTTGGATTAAGTTAAGTGATTTCAACATGAAGCAATAGCAAACGCAATGAATGAGTATTTTTCACTAAACTCTCAATAAAACATACAATGATTTGTTGTGTTTACGTAAATACTTATATTTCGTAAAAATACGTAAATGTTCGGCACCACAGTGGCGGTTAAGATTATCGGTTTATTAATCGGTTAAGATCACGCAAACCTGGTCGCTCGCTTCCCATATGAAAAAACTAGCTGCTGCCCGCGACCTCGTCTGCGTAGAACAGGCTGAAGGCGTAACATTCTGACAGAAAGTCAGATATACATAAAACATGTACATGAATTATAGCCTATGTGTTATTCTGATGTATAAGCTATATTATTGTAAAGTTTCATTTAAATCCATTCTGTAGTATTTGCGTGAAAGATTAACAAACATCCATCCATACATACAAACTTTCGCGTTTATAATATTAGTAAGGGTATTGTCTGATGAGATGTCGTACTCGCAGGTTCTAGGTTCGGCAGCGGTGGCTGTGACCTTCGCCGAGCGTCTGTTCGGGTGGTTTGCCTTGTGCATCCCCCTCTTTGTGGCCGCCTCGACCTTCGGCGCAGTCAACGGCGTGCTGCTGACCTCTTCCAGGTAGTGTTGGCTCCGCCCTGTAGTCCCGGGCACATAGAATAGGATTAAGGTATCTCCTGCCTGTCGTGAAAGCTGCTGCAAGATGGCGAAGGAATCGGGGAAGGTTTATCCTTCTCCTGTTGCTGTTGAAATATCGAGAAACGTTTTAACTGTGGTTGGACCACGTAATAGTCTCCGCTGTTGAACAAATGGGCAGGTCCGTCCGGGGAAGTACCACGACCTCACAGAAGACCGGCGTGAAGTGGAACCGTTATACTTCTGTGGGCGGCGGTTATCGCCTAACATCATAAAAACCGGCCGCTCGCTTGATCTTGCTCGCTTGTCGAACGAAATCGATGACTGTAGTTCGATTGTTCTCCAAAACTTTTGCTTTTCTTTAGTCTCCTATCATGCTGTTCGGTGTATTTGCAACGAAACAACATTAATTAATAATAATAACGATTGACGACCCGAATGGCGTAGTTGGTACAGTACCAGCCTCCTTCGCCAGAGGGTGTGGGTTCGATCCCCACTACTGGAAAAATATTGTGTGATGAACATGATGTTTTTCTAGTGTCTGGGTGTTTATATATGTATAAAAATATGTATTTTTTTTACAAAAGAAAAGTATGTTCAAGTATATTTATCAGTTTTCTAGTACCCATAGTACAAGCTTTGCTTAGTTTGGGGCTGGAAAATGTTGTGTAAAAAAAAATGTGTCCCAAAATATTTATTTACATTTATAAAAAAGTCTCCATCGGCGTTGTGGACTGTGTGACCACACCAGGTGGCCGTAGACCGTGGCATCTCCCCAGGCTGTTCTACGCTGGCGCGGCGCAGGGCCAGCTGCCGGGGGTCCTGACCATGGTGTCGGCGCGGGCCACCCCTGCGCCGGCGGTGCTAGCGGTGGCACTGCTGTCCCTCCTCTACCTGACGGTCTCCGACATCTACGCGCTGATCAACTACGTCGGCTTCGCTACATGGGTGATCCTCGACCCTCGTTATTCTTCTTCTTCTTCTCCTTAATAGCGGAATCCCAAAGACGTGGGTTAGATTCCCACAGCGGCGAAAAACTTATCGTACTTTTCTACAAATTTTAATGTTTAGATTAGTCGAGCCGCATACTACTTTCGCTCCCTTCTCTGAAACTGTGCTGTTTTACTGAAGTAGGGCCACGCAAGCAGCCTCGGCCTTTGTACGAATGGGCAGGCTCGTCCGGGTAAATATCACGACCTCACAGAAGACCGGCGTAAAGTAGAAAGACGTATGACAAATACGTCTGGTGAGTGCGTCTGCATCCGGCTACCTAGCCGGAGCCCAATTTACAAAAGGTTGTCAACACATCTGTAACCCCCGGGTGTAGCAGATGTCCATGGGCGGCGGTATTCACTCAACATCAGGTGAATCGTCTGCTCGTTTGTCAACTTTTCACGTAAAAAAAAACCTCTGAAAAAAAATCGTCACATGTTACCGCATATCGTATGAAGTTGTGCTCATAACGAATTTATTTCCATTCACAGCTGAGCATTGGTGCGGCCGTGCTCTGCCTGCCGGTGCTGCGTTACACGCGGCCCGACCTTGAACGGCCCATCAAGGTCAACCTCTTCTTCCCCGGTGAGTGGCTTCCTTCGTTGCCCTGTTATGACTTAGCTCATTTCCCTTTTACAAGCTGAACCTCAATTGGAAAACACATTGACGAGAACCATACATATTCGTGATGAATATATTCGCAGGCCTCAAGCTTTTATAACAGGGCTTATCTAAGAACCATGAACTAAAGACTGAAAGTAAAAATTGGCAATCAAATTAAACGCCACACAACCGTCAAATAGTAGAACTGTTAATAATATAATATCTTTATTCAGTGAAAGTGGGCCGTCCTTGATAGGCCATTGTCCGGGCACTCGCTATTAATTCAGTCAGCAATCCGAGTTTAATTCCCAGTTTTTAAAAAAGTTTCTAACTCTGGCAAGACCATGCAACAGTCGCACTTCTGCGTTTCGTGTGGTGAGTGAGGTAGCCGGGGCCCACTTTATTAAGGGGTGGCAACGCATCTGCAACCCTACGGGTGTTGCAAATGTCCATTGGCGGCGGGTATCACTTAACATCGGGTGAACCGTCGGCCCGTTTTGCATTTTCGCACATAAAAAAAGAGACACGTCGAACGTCGACGACATCCCCCGCCCCTCCGCGGTGGTGTGCACCCTCTGCACAGAAGCCATTGCCCACCGGTGAGACAAGTTGTTACTGTACAAGAGAGACACGTTGAATGTCGACGGCTTCCCCCGCCCCTTCAGTGGTGTACATCATCTGCACCGTGCTGGTGGTGGCGGTGCCGGCGGTGGCCTCGCCGGCCGAGACGGGCGTCGGCTGCCTGATGATCCTCACGGCGGTGCCGGTCTACCTGCTGCTGCTGGAGCCCAGCACGCGCGTGGGCGGCCTCCACTCGGTCACCGGTCAGAGACGTTCATTTCAAATTACTCCCTTACTAACCCTTACCATCCTTACTAACCCTTACTGTCCTTACTAACCCTTACTGTCCTTACTAACCCTTACTGTCCTTACTAACCCTTACTATCCTTACGAACCCTTACTATCCTTACTAACCCCTACTATCCTTACTAACCCTTACTAATCCTTACTAATATTATAATGCATGGATGGATGTTTGTTACTCTTTCACGCAAATGCTACTGAATGGATTCTAATGAAACTTTACAATAACATAGCTTATACATCAGAACAAGACATAGGCTATTTATATACATGTTTTTATGTATATCTGCCTTTCTGTTTGAATGTTACGCCTTCGGCCTATTCTACGTAGACGTAGTCGCTGGCAGCAGCTAGTAATTAATAAAAAAAATAATTAAATTTTACTGTTGCAACATTTATTTGCACGAATGTGCGGGTCCGTCCGGGGACAACCGCGGTCGCACGGAAAACCGGCGCGAAGTGGTAGTGTAATACTTCGGCTGGTCGCCGCTAAAGTAGCAGTACAAACTGCTGCGTGACTCCACTGCTAGAAACTTCCACAGTTCCACGTATTAACGACTGTATGTTCAAATATAGGATTTTCAATTAAGAGTACTATTAGTTTCACTATTACTAAGCAAAGCACCAGCAACTCTTTCTCAGTTTAATATGTTCCGCCACACTGGCTACTTCACTCACCAGACAAGAGGCAAAACTATAATACTTCCATTTCACGACGGTCTTCTTAAAGAAAGCAGCTGTTTAGTCCTAACAAAGTTAAAACAGGTTATACGCTTAGTACGAGTAGTTTATATCAGACGGTTCATTGGAAAGAATATATCATTTTTTCAGTTTGAATGACATAGAAAAGAATATTCACCAACTATATTCTTCCAATGTGTTGTCGAACAAAGTGTCTTGGTGCATTCGTCTGCTTACATGACTCAAGCAAAAATGGCCGAATCCATTCATTTCTTCGTTCATTACGAGTGGGAGTTCAGAGCGAATGATACCAAATACCAATATTCAACATCGTAGGGTCGAGTCATTAGAGAATCCATAAGGAAAGACAAAAATGAATCGTCTGATATCACAACCACCGCAATATTAGATCATGCCGAAACAAAACTGACTGAAAAATAAATGTTGATTGCCATTTGGTACAACAAACAATCCTTCTGCTTGTTTCCCTTGCAGTAATAACTTTATACTGTAATTTTGTTACAATTTCAAATGTTAAGAATAACTTTCATTTGTTCTTCACAGACTCCTTCACGAGATTAGTGCAAAAACTGACTTTGTCGGTGAGACCCAAAACGAAGGTGAGTCTGTTGAGTATTAGTGTAATCGTATACAGCGTGTAGTTACAATCGCGACAATAAATTGACACACGTCTAACGCTACTTGCCAATAATCATAAAAAAAATATAAAACGTTAAAAAATCCATAATAAAAAAATATGTTTAAAGAAAACCAATTTAAAAATAAAGAAACATAATTTGTAATCCTATACAACTACAACTGACTGATTAATACTGGTCTCTTGTCCCTTGCAAATACCTTAAACAAAAATCTGCTAACTCTTAACGCAGTAAAAACCAAGGTAATATCTTTTTACAAAACCAATTCATCCAGGCCTCCTGATAACTTACTCATTAAATTCCACAGCTGTGGCTCTCATAATCTTCATAACTGTTCCTGTTTGTTTTTAGAAAGAGTGTGTTCCCTTAACTATTTAGGAATTAGATAGTTGTTTCGCATCTGGGTGTTTGTCTAACGTGAAATTTATGTTTGTCCCTACAATACAGGATAATGTTATCCTAAAGTAAGGGCAATGTTTTAAAAAAAAAAAAAAAAAAAACAAATAAAAAAAAAATTGTCTTAGACGAAAAAATGACCTTCAAACTCTCTCTAGCCGTGTGAGAAAACTTATGTTCACAATGAAGAAGCTGAGAGACTGCTCCTCAATTGAAATTCTTCGCATAGTTTACCACGCTCTATGTCAGTCTATTTTACAGTATGGAAACACACACACGCGCGCGCACGAATGCTCGCTCGCACACTTTCACTAAACATACTACTCAGAAAAGCCTATGTAGTTATTAAGTTTTTTCATCTCAATTTCATTTTAAGCCACAATTACCAATTTACTTTGTAGTTATTTTTTTATTTTAGTCACTTTATTTTTGTTATTAGCAATGAGTCTTCACGATATAACTAAACACCTATCGCAAATCTGGCAGCTCTGGCTCCCAAGATACAGGCACTGCTTAGTTTGGGATCCATTGTTAATGTTTCGTAGTTTGAGGTTAGTTACAAAATTTTATATTAATCTTGATTACTATTTTCTTATTTTTAGACATGTGTTGTAACTTAATTTTGCATCTACTTAGATAACGTTTATCTCTTTCAAATTCATTCAACCCGATCATATGTTTTGAGACCTTTATGATGTTTAAATAATGTAAATGTTTAATACAACTTTAAAAAGTTATCCTCTATATGTGTGTTCATTTATTGTCGCGGTTGTAACGACACGCTGTATAACGGAAGAGCATTTACAGCCCGGACGTGTGATATTAATATTAATGTCAGGACAGAGAAAACGATTATAAGTATTAATTCTCAAGAGAAAGAACGGGAACGAGCTATCCCCCTGTTCAAGATCATAAACTCTACGATAATTAGCTGCAAATATCAGGTGATAAAGGAAATTTTTTGTAGATAAATTATCGGAAATTTTCGGCGCTGTTAGGATTAATGATTATGATGAATGAATAGTTGGCTGTATTTAAATATTGCCATTGCTTAATCCTGTTCTTGCATTAGCGCTGAAGTTTTTAAAAAAAAGTCCATTAGTTTTGCCTATTGGCTGAACTGTGCATTTTTGTATTAACATCCATAATGGTATGTAATCTAGAATTTTACCCTTATAACATTTTATTTATCGTTTTCCTAAGATAAATAAACATTGACTTCACTTACACAAATCTGGAATATATACGCGTGGGTCACGCAAATCATAATGTAGACAGACTAAACGATCTTGAGCTGTTGTGATCCTTCGTCAGATTATTGAAAAAGTTATTTCGTTTATGCAGTATTATGAAGGCTTGACAAATATGGGTAACCATAATGACGTTGATTTCAGTGAGACATCTGATTGCGAAGACTCAAACATGTACGACTCAGTTCAGCCGGATCGCGAAAGCAGTATTTACACAATATTGTAATCGAGTTTGTTTGTTTGTTGCGTATTAATGGTTTATTTAGGCTGGATATAAAAAATGCAAACATACATAAATAGTTAATAAGTCATATGTTATATATGTTGTATATGAATATCATCAAATAGGAATTGATAGCGCCCTAGCTGAGAGCCTTAGATTATGAATAAATCTAGATGGCACTGTTTTATATTCTTGTGTGCGTATACGCATTGTTTAACACTCGCGCAACTGTATTTGTGTGCGTATATAGGGATGCATTGTATTAACAGTTTTTGTGAGTAGTCTTTGCAAAATTTCACTGCAAAGAACGTGAAATTTTTTTTGAAGCCATAAATATGTGTTCTTAGATGGTTTGCAAAATGTTGTGAAGTTTTCTCAAATCACTTGATATACGATAGATGTTAAATTAAAAAAATATGTCGGAAATAAATACCTATACAACATATCACGTCTCGATTTACAGACTATACCTACACGAAAAATGAAAGATTACTCACGTTTTCATAAACGTTTTTAAAATACTTAATTTTATTTTCTTCAAGTACGGACATTATAATACTGCATCTATTTATTGGAACTAATGTTTATTACTTATCGTATGCTTTATTATTTTCAAAATGACTTTCAAGCAAAAGTGTTCTGTAATCTGCAACATTTACGCCATAAATCAGTTCAAATCGAAAAACAAAAACAAAAATCATGAGTGTAGACAAAGCTTATGGTGGGTTATAATTGTATTATTATAGTTCTTAGCTGTGGTTAAATTGAATATTTATACATATGTGTGATGTTACAATATGCGTATTCACATTGGATGTACTATATTGTTGATTGTTGTATCACGTTGTAATTTAGAACGATAGATTTTCGCCAAGTTTAGATCTATATTTTGACTTAAATGAAACTTTATACGAAAGTAATTCGTTTCGTAATATAACACAAGCACCAAATAGACTACTAACTAAAATCGTTACAAAGTATAGAATATTCTTTATCGTTAATGTTCGAACAAAAACTTGCCAATAACTATCAGAAAAAAGAATGGTATAAGCGATCCCGTAAAAATATAATTGAACAAGTGAATTTTGTAACAAAGGAAAACAATGGCTATTTTCACTCCAGTTTGAGTCTAGTGCAGATGGTCACGAGGTATCACTGCATAGTATAAAACAATCGTTCCTCTGTCTGTCCCTATGTATGTTTAGATCTTTAAAAGTACGCAACGGATATTGATGCGGTTTTTTTTACTAGATTGAGTGATTCACGAGGAAAGTTTACATGTATAATACACTGCACCCGTGCGAAGCCGAGGCGGCTCGCTAGTAGTCTAATAAAATAGATCCCGATATCCTAAAAATTTCCGGAGCTTAAATAATTTGTAAAAGTCAGCGGTCGGCGACATAAAACAAATTGCATGTACAAACCTGCCGACTCAAAGATTGAGCGAAAAGGTGCTTCCGGATTTGTGGATGATGATTGAATGGCAGCCCAGCCCGCCCATGTTCCGCACCAGCTTCCGTGTGAACCGCTCTGAACAGTCCGTGTGTGCTCCCTATCCATCTTCCGAGCTAGAGTGAAACTAGCCTATACCGTTCGTCACATAGAACCCTTGACACTCAGGTAGAGCTCTGGAGGCCTCGCGGCAACAAAGCAGTGGAGGCCCCTTGGCCCAAAATTATTTTCCAAATAACATGAATAATTTTTTTCAGTCGAGTTTTCCAATAAATAATTTATTGTTCAGTAAATAAACCAAGTATAGATTCTTTTATTATTTAACGAATATATAAATATAATCTCTATTGTGTCTCTATTGTGGGGACCCCTATTTTGTGGAGGCCCCGGAACTGTAGCCCCGGTTGCTCTCCCCTAAATGCGGCCCTGTTGACGCTTCCTGCGTGTAAAATACACATATATAAATAACACTTCCATGATTCGATTTTCACTACCGAACGAATAAAAAGAAGTCATCATTCATAGTATAAAGGGAACATTCCAGGCTTCAATAGCCATGTTTATACAAAACGGTTATTTTTGTGTTGCAAATATATTTTTTTAGCTGGCTTGTAAGTTTTTAGCGTTAAGTTTTCGTCATGCGTGATATCGATAAATTCTACACATGGGTGACATTTTGCTTAAAACAATTTTCTAGAAATTAAATTATTTTCAATCATGTGACTGTTCAATAAAGATCACTGTAAATAAACTCTCAGAAAGCAGTGGTTGGATCTAGTTGATGTTAATTGTTATATTTTTAAACCCTCTGAAAATTCTCCAATGCCTTTTTATTACATGTTTTAGTACCGCGTAAAAACCTAAAAATAATTTAATATTTAATGCATTTTTAGAGTAATGCTTTTTGCCGCTTATTTATCTGTCAACCCTAAAAAGACAATACATAGATTCTATTACAAAGCTGTAGCTTTTATATATATTTATGACACAAGTATATTAAGCTTTGTAAAGTGATTTATATTACTATGACTGAATATAGAGTTGAAAAAAGTAGAAAAACTATAAGCAATTATTTCGCAACTGTTTTTGGAATATGTTTTTCTAATTTATTGGTTTACTGTTTTTAATTCAAATGTACCTTTATTAATACCAACGTTTTGCGTATGTCAATATTATTTCTAACAATGGCTGTGTTTTTTTAGATCATTTGTTTTTATCGAAGACCCAAAGATATTTTCTTTTCCTTATGATATTACATATGAATTACACATATAAGTTTAAACACAACGCATTATCATTATTTTTTTACTTTTGTAAATATAAAAATAAACATTCCAACCATGCTACCTATGTGTCATTTTATGTAAGACTATGTTAAGTACATTTATTTTATATATTTGGAAATCTTGCCTATTAGTATAAAACATGTACCGATACAAGTACGTTATAAATTATAAGGTGAAATTATTTTTCATGTTTCTGAACGAAATATGTTTTATGTAACATTAAATTTATTTTTGGCGCAACATATTATAATATTATTGTTTATTTTTCGAACTACCCAGGTTATTTATAATGTTCTTACAGTGATGAATTTTTTTATAAGATAATCATAAGTAGTTTATATTAAACGCATTTTT